TGATGGCAACAAGCTCCAATAAAAGACCAGCATTAAGATATTACCAGTAATTTTCTGAACCACTGCAGCTAAACCTGTAAGCCCCCCCTGCCCAATCCTAAGAGACACATGCAGACATTTTAAACATTCAAATAATGTCAAGGAAATAGTGACTGATTTAACATGTAAACCAGCTCTTCCTTCACAATGAGTCCATTCGTCAGGGCCCGTTAACACAGGCACCCAACAGGCAAGGCTTACGTGTCTGGCCACATCACAACCCTGGTGTCTGCACCAAGGCACCTGCTGGACAGATCAGAGAGGAGCTACGCAGCTGCCTGCAGTCACCACGGGGCCTCATCCCCTCTCACAAATACCCTCGACATTACGGATGCTACAGCAGAGGACTGAAAGGTGTGGGCAAAGTCAGTTTCGCACTCGCCATGTAAGATTTAGCAGATGCGAGCTTTTACAGAAGCTCTGCACAACCCTTTCTGCTCTCAGTTTCTCTCCTCAGTGTTTCAAAAGCAGAGAAGTTAGAAAGAAAATCAAGGTTTCTAAGAATACTCTCCAGTCTTAGCGTTTAAGAAGTGCTGCAGATAGCCTGCTACAACATTTAACCTATCCTTAATGCCTTCGTCTACCAGTAATCAAGACAACTCCACAAGCTCCTCAATTCACTTGTCGCAGCGCTCAACCGTCTCACCTCCTTTCCTGTGCATCAAGACAATTTGCACTGCACTTCCCCCAGTGAGCATCTAAGTTCTGTTCTAAGAGCTGGCAAACAACTATCTGTGGTGGAACACTTTTTCATGCCCTGCCTCAGCATTTTTCCAGATTTAACTAAAATCCCTTTCTTTGACGTTTTGTTACTTACAGGTTACAGTTTTTAAAACTCTGCCCATTCTTGGCTCAGTCAAATCTTCTGTAAATTTCACCACAGTTTCAGAAGAATATGTAAGTCCCTTTTTTGCTCCCACATGCAATAAAAATTCTGAGTTAGATTTTCACCAGCGGGAACATTTTTAATCTTTAACTGCTTCCTGGATTGATACCAGCACATTTGCTTACTGTGAAGAAATATTCAGACCACAAGCACCCAAGCATTTCTTGTAACTGCTCCAGAGTGCAGAAGGAAGAACAGGACAAGAAGTGTCGACAGACAAAGCAACAACTCTTCTGCCATGTTGCAAACAGCCCTAGGGGTGGCTACACACACCGAACACAAACTGCCTGCCTGGAAGTCTCAACTAGCTACATAAATGTTCAAAGTCTTTCACACAGTAAGATTTTTGCCATCTTTAAGGGGAAAACAATTCATAATTCCCTTTCAATTTCAGGATGAAAAGAGGCTGCTTAACTTTCCTCTTACCAACTCGGTGTGAGGAATACCAACTAATTTTCCCTTCCCCCCTCCCAGGAAAGGGTTTTATCAAAACCAGTAAGACTTTTTAGGAAGGTACAGCTGAAATAAAGCTTATTTTCTGAGGGTGAATTTACATTGATTTCGAACTGCAGAGTTAGTACCAAAACAGAAGGCTTCAGTTTACAAACCGGGAGGACACCGCTGTTTGGTTACTTAAAGTCTCTGTTTTTAAACAAACGCATTTGCAAGCACCACAGCAAAGGCTGCACAAACAGCTGAGGCGGCAGGAAGCGCCTGCAGACGGTACCGCAGCAGCTGGAACAGGAACCACTGCCGCCAGCCCGAGGTAAGCCCTCGCGCTGCCACCCCAACCTTTGGGGGCTAAGAGCTTAGACATTTTCTGAGTTTACGTAAGGGATCAAAATTACACCAGGAAAGTCCTGAAACTGTGAAAAGTACTTTTGAAGCTACAGCTCTACAACCGAATGGTTTAGTCACTAAATCTTCCCACCACTTTTACGAACAAGTTTTATGAACAGGTTGTATGAACAAAGACCTGAATGCATGAATTTATGGCCTTCTTGTAAAAATTATCTAGGCTATATAGGCCAAGGAATTTAGAAGGAAATTTGAGCATAGTCAAACACAGAGGACGTTCTTCATCATCACAAGCATCGTAATATTTGCCTTCCTACAGTCCACGCTCTTGAGAAAAGCTGCCAGTGTCCCGTAGCGGGTGTTTCCCCCAGAAGAAAATGCTGGGTTGTTACCTATCTGACCATGGTTCTTGCAGGAATTAAGACATCTGCCACTGGAGACAGAAACAGGAGAAAAAGAGGATCTAGCAACAGTCCGTTTCAGTTAACGCTACAGAACAACCCATTTGTTTTCAAAGCCAAAAGCTGCGCCTAACATCGGTGTCGACTGCCTCCTCGCTCCCCAGTTACCCAGTTCTGTCGAAGCTCTCCTCTTCAGCACTCCAACCAGCTCATGGCTTTTTCCAACACACACTAAAAACCCACCACGCCCTTACCAAGAGCCCTAGTTTTCACATGTGTGTGCCGCAGATGGCCTGCAAGTCTATGGCATGAAAACCAACCCGCAAGCAGCCAAGAGCAATGTTACCGGTGAGCATCCCCACATCTCATCTGTGCAAGTCGCTACTGGCAATCAGAGAGGAAACTCGAACAAATGCAAGAGGCGGAAAAGCAGCCACTGGGCCACACAGCCTATGAACGATTAGCATATACGGTGGCCAACTCCAAGAAGAGCCAGAGCACACACTCTACAGCAATGATTTCACAGTAAGAGAAATACCCTACAAAATACAAAAAGAGGAGATGAGAAAAAAGTAAATAGGAAAAATACAAACGTATTGATTGGTACAGGCGGATTCCTACAACTGCAAACCAGAATTATAGTTGTTCCCTTGGAAGAAAGTCAGCTTCTCTCAAAAAGACACTCCGAAAAAAATCAGAGGGGCTGACGGGATGTGCTGCAAAGCAGAACTGACAAGCTGTCATGTCAATGAGCTGGCTACTTACTGCCACAGCAGTCCATAAATGCAGAAGCACGCCAATACCTCAAGATGAAACAAAAAAGACCTGAAAGGAGGAAAAAAAAATCCTTTATATTGAATTTTTTCTGCTTTCCTCTCACCAATACCCGTTCAAGAAAAAAAAGAAAAAGACAACCCACACTGAGAAGATCAGCTTTCACAGCAGAAGTGCTACATCTGAGCTATGCCAGCACCAAATCATGAAATATCCCTTCAGTGATTAAAATGAAAGTAGGTCAAGGAGGCCTTCCTGCTACCCAAAAGGCACTTCTGCTAAATATTCACTAATACTACAGATTAAAGTAAAACTTTCATGGTTTGTTCTTTCAATTATAAGCCAACTTAGGCAGTTTCTAGTAATGGTGACAGAGCTTTCTTTTAGTATTGCAAGAGATATAAAGATTAAAAAAAAAAAAAAGTTTAAGGTCAGTAGCGTTTTACACAGAAAAGAGCTTCTTAAAAATAGTGCCCTTCAGGAGAGGCTCTAGATGACTAACTTCCAAGGGTTACCGGGGTCTCTTCAAGAACAAAAAAAAGGTAACACTAAAAAAAAAAAAACCAAACGTCATTTTAAAAGCACCAATTTTGTTTTCGCAGAACATCATACTGCCTGAAGACAGCAAACCTTCCCAGCGACTGGGCACTTAACATTAGCGCTTTGGAAAACTTTAGACAAAACTCTTTCACCTTTTTCACAGGAAAAACATCAAAAGAGTGCTTCCTGAAATAAAATCTGCATATATTTGAGAAACATGTTAGCATCTCAGAAAAGACTAGTAAAACTGGCCCAAACGAATGGATCTAATTGATTTGTCAGTTCCGTTGAACTACAAGTTTACTGCCTCCACATCACGTTCTACTACTGCCAGCATAGGCACAGTTTATCCTGAGGGAAAGCCAAACACGTAGGTGCTTGCTCTAAATCTGAATGAAAAGGGAAAGAAAAAACAAAAATCAGGTTCTGTCTGTCTTATTACAGTTCTGACATATTAGAAAGAAAATAATAGAGTCCTAGGTTACAGTGCAAGATGTGCCCAAA